GGGGGAGACTGGAGTGGTTAAGACCAAAGGGCAGTCTCTGGAGTCAGACAGCCTGGGATTCATTGTCCTGCCAGTTACTAACTGTGGCTTTGAGCAAGTAATTTCATCTCTCGCTGCTGAGTATGTTCATCTGTGAAATGATAAAGGTGGGATCCCCGTCCTAGGGTTGTTGGGTGGGTCATTGAGCATACGCAAAGTGCTTAGCACCACGCCTGGTGCCTAGTTTACGCTCAGTGTACATTAGCTGAAATCACCTGGTTCATATTCAGTGGAATGTAGGGTAAGTTTCATAGTATTTTGTTGGCTTGTTACTTCTTTTCTTTTTTATTGAATTTATTGGGGTAACATAAAGTTACATAGGCTTCAGGTGTATGATTCTATAATATATCATCTGTATGTTGTATTGAGTGTTCACCACCCCAAGTCAAGTCTCCTTCCATCACCGTATATCTCCCTTATACCCTCTTCTGCCTCCCCTCCCTTTCTCTCTGGTAGTCACTGTACTGTTACTTGTTTTCTTCTCCTACTCAGGTGAGCTATATGGAGATCTATTGTGAGCGGGTACGAGACCTTTTGAACCCCAAGAGCCGGGGCTCTCTGCGGGTCCGGGAGCACCCCATCCTGGGCCCTTACGTGCAGGACTTGTCTAAATTGGCTGTGACCTCCTATGCAGACATTGCCGACCTCATGGACTGTGGAAATAAGGCGAGGTGAGGTGGGCCAGTGGAGTGGAGGAAAAGGGAACCAGGCTTAGGAAGGTGAGAGGTGGGACCCAGTGACCACTCCCTTCCCCCCCAGGACTGTGGCTGCCACCAACATGAATGAGACCAGCAGCCGTTCCCATGCCGTCTTCACCATTGTCTTCACCCAGCGCTGCCATGACCAGCTCACTGGACTGGACTCAGAGAAGGTGGGACCCCCGCCCCCATTCCTTCCTAGTTACAGGGACAGTGATGTCGTGAAGTGGCCTTGTGTCTTCCTCCCTGCCCATGCTGGGCTTGAGTGCCTTCTCCAGGCTTCTATAGCCCTCTGTCCATCCCGTCAGATCAGTGTGGTACAATCTCCTATTTGCTTGTTTGTCCTTCTTACTAAACTTTTCAGGGAAGGGCTTGGAGCCCATCGTCCCTTGTTCTGACACACAGTGGGCATGTAAATATCTGCAAATGAATAAATGAACCAATAGATGAGTAACCAGCCCCTTACTGTAGCCTTAATAAGTTTCATTTTCTCCTGCCCCCTTCCTTCGTCCCCTCCTGCTTTCTCCTCCCTTGCCAATGGCCCAATTCCCTTGCTGGGTGTTCTGCTGATTTGCCACCCTCCTGACCTGGTCACCTCCTACCTTTTTCCTCTGACCCAGGTTAGTAAGATCAGTTTGGTGGACCTTGCTGGGAGTGAGCGGGCTGATTCCTCAGGAGCCCGGGGCATGCGCCTGAAGGTGAGGAGGCTTAGGAGGGACAGACAGGGGCAGTGTTGGGGGCCTTGTGCAGTCGTCTCTCATCCTAACCTGGGACTCTGGCTGCGGGGAGGGGAAGGGAAAGTGGATCAGAGTGGGAGAGTAGGGCCTCATTCCCCACGTTCCTTATCCCTTTCCAGGAAGGTGCCAACATCAATAAGTCTCTGACTACTCTAGGGAAGGTGATCTCTGCCCTTGCAGATATGGTAAGATCTGGGGGTGGGAAGAGAAGGCACTCCGGGTAAAGGGACACAGGATGGCCTACCCTGACCCCTTTCCCCTTTCTATCCCCCAGCAATCAAAGAAGCGGAAGTCGGATTTTATCCCTTATAGGGACTCTGTGCTCACCTGGCTGCTCAAGGAGAATTTGGGTGAGGGGCTCCTACTCTCTCTTTACTGACCCTGCCTCCATTCTACTAACCTCCTTTGATATATCTGACAAAATCTCCTTGCCACCTTGAGAATCCCAGATCTTCCACTTGTCCCATTGACCCTCCCCTGACCTTTGAAGATGTCCTGTTGCTGAGATCAGGCCACACCCTCCTGCCAAGCCAAGAGCCTCTCTAACCTGGCCACCCATGATGCCCTCTGATCCACACCCGCAGCTGGCTTCATCCTCCCGCTGATCTCTCAGATGTCTGATGTCTCCTTGACCTCACCCCTGCTCCCTCTAACTACCAGATTTTATGGCTAGCTCCACAACTCTTAGCATCACCCTACCTTGGACAGTGCCCCTGCCAGACCCCTGCCTGGGCACTGAGGCCCCCCTGACCCAGTATGACTTTTCTTAGGACCCAGCCCAGCTTAAGCCTTTCACTCCTCTCCATGCACAGGTGGGAACTCACGCACAGCAATGATTGCAGCCCTAAGCCCCGCAGACATCAATTACGAAGAGACTCTCAGCACCCTCAGGTGGGACTCTGGTGGGTGGGACAGCATATGAAAAGTGCCAGGAGAGCTCAGAGGCTGGTTGTTCAGGACCCTGCCCATGAGACAGAGTTGACCCTCAACCGTGCCCCAATATTTTAAAACCTGGGAGGGAGAGAGGGAAATAGGCAGCAGGCAAAGGTCATCTGGGTCTGGGCCTCACCAATCCTGATCCTCCCTCCTCACCCAGGTATGCTGACCGCACCAAGCAGATCCGCTGCAATGCCATCATCAATGAGGACCCAAATGCCCGGCTGATCCGAGAGTTGCAGGAGGAGGTGGCTCGGCTACGTGAACTGCTGATGGCTCAGGGGCTCTCAGCCTCTGCTCTGGGAGGTAGGGCTCCAGGGGAGGGGCAGCTCGGGGATGCCCCTTGGTTTGCCTCATCTCTCCTCATTTGCCTTTGCCCAGTCCTGGGGCCAGGGAGGGACCACTGACCACAAAGCCCTTCATGCCCTCAGTGACGTGGATACAGATATGGAGCGGGGACTTATCATGTCTTGACAGAAGTTCTTGTGAAACTTCAAGGGTCTAGTTGACTATAAGCTTAACAACACGCAACAGTGGAATGGTTTCTAAAATTTAATGCTTAGCCTCACTGACACAAAATGGTGTCCGTTGTAGAGGCTGTAGAACTGTATTGACTTCATCAGGTGTGGATTCCGCGTTCAGTATTTGGGTCTATCCCACTGAGGACAGTCAGGGTGCTGAGGGGCACAGTGGGGGAAATAAGAGTGTTGTTCTTGGGAAGAGAAGGATAAGGTAGACATGATGTTCACCTTCCCACATTTAAAGGGTAGTCTTGCAAAAGGAGAAGCAGTGTGGTCTCTCTTATCTCAGAGGGCAGAACTAGGAACAATAGGCACATATAATGGAGGCAGATTTTATTTTGTTATTTATTTATTTATTTTTTAAAATATGTCTTTATAGATTTCCGAGAGAGGAAGGGAGGGTGAGAGAGAGAGAGAGAGAGAGGGAAACATCAATGATGAGAGAGTCATTGATCAGCTGCCTCCTGCACACCCCCTGCTGGGGTTCAAGCCCGAAGCCCGGGCATGTGCCCTGACTGGGAATCAAACCTCGATCTCCTGGATCCTAGGTCAATGCTCAACCGCTGAGCCACGCCCGGCCGGGCACAGAGGCAGATTTTAGCTCAACATAGCTAATAACTTTCTGATAGTACAAGTCATCCAACAATGGGAGGAACTCATTGCCTTGTTCAGTAATGAGCTCTCCACCCCTAGAGGGGAGCAAGCAGAGACTGAGTACCCATTTGTTAAGGCTGCAGTAGGAAGGCTTCTTGTTTGGTGGAGGTTGACCAGATGTCTTCTGAAGTCCTTAAAGACTGGTCCTCTTAGAGGCCTTCTTTATGTTTTCAATCAGCTACATCTTCCCTTAGCCTCCTTCTTTGACTTGTTTCTCTCTCCCAGGACTGAAGGTGGATGAGGGGAGTCCTGGAGGTGCTCTGCCAGCTATAGCGTCTCCCCCTTCCCCAGCTTCACCCTCATCTCCCCCTGCACACAATGGGGAACTGGAACCACCATTCTCCCCCAACACTGAGCCCCAGATTGGGCCTGAGGAGGCCATGGAGAGGCTGCAGGTGGGAAGCTGGAGCTGGCCAGGGCTGGGGGCTGATGGGAGTGTAGTTCTCCAAAGCCAGGGTCGAAGAGGAAGAAGGAATCCCAGGACTGGTGTGGCCCTGTGGTAGGTGCTTGTCCCAGGTTGTGCTGATCCCTGTCTGCCTCGTGCCCCCAGGAAACAGAGAAGATCATAGCTGAGCTGAATGAAACCTGGGAGGAGAAACTACGCAAGACTGAAGCCCTGAGGATGGAGAGGTGAGAGGGGAGGGGGCACAGCTGGAGCCCTAGAAGGAGTGGGGGTGGGAAGGGAAGGCCAGGCTCTGTAGGGGAGGTGTTTGTGGGTCGCAATGGTAAGGTGAGCTTGTGTCTCTCGGTCTGCAGAGAAGCATTGCTGGCTGAGATGGGGGTGGCTGTCCGGGAGGACGGAGGAACCGTGGGTGTCTTCTCTCCGAAGAAGGTGAGTGAGTGCTGGGTGAAGGGGCCTAGGGAGGCTTAGGTGACCCTGAATGCTTTGAGGAGAGGGTTGGGGTGGGAGGGCGGTAAGTTCTAACCCTGATCTCCGAGGTGTCTGAGTTGTCCCCCATCATCTTTGTCCCCACTCCTGCCACCTCCTCTCTATGTTGTCTGGCCACCCCTGCCTTCTCTGTCCCTCCATCTGACAGCCATAGAGGCAAGGGCTCAGTAAGTGTCTGTGGCTAGGGACTCTAGGGACCACGAAGGATGACAGGGTCCCTGCCCTTAGCGGGTTCAAGAGCTGCTTAGAATCTAGTTATTTACAAATAGCCTCACATAATGTGTGTATGTTGAGTTCATGCGTAGAATTTTCTCTGGATTTAGAAGAAACTGGTTACAGGGGTTACCCCAGGAAAGAGGGAGAGGACCTGGGAGATTGGAGGTTGGTTGGATAGAGACTTATTCACTGTATACTCTCTTGTATCATTTGAATTCTGTACCCTATACATATGGTGTATGCTCAAAAGATTAGCTAAAAAATACATTTTTTAAAAGGTAACTTGGGGAAGCAGGACTGTAAAAGGAATAGCGAGGAGTAAGCACCAAACTATGACATTAATTGTAGATGCAGCGAGAGGTTTAAAAGATGGATGGAAACTGGTTTCCTGGAGAAGGTGGTTTGTAACGTGGAGCCTGAAAGATGGTCAGGATTTGGGAGTAGAGAGGAGCAGGGAAAACATTAGGCTAAGCAAACACAGGGAAGTGTCAGTAATGGTGCACACCAGCACCTGTCATGTGCCTGCTCTGTAGCTGGTGCTTAGTAAGTGCATCTTTGCCTGGAGGAAGGAAGGAAGGAAGCAGGATAGGAGTGATCAGGCTCAGCTGGAGGCAGGAATGGTATTCAAAGTCTTTAACAACCAGGAGGGCATGGGACGGACCAGTCAGAATGGGTGCTAGCCGTAACCAGTCAGCACAGTTGTGTGGGCTGTGCACACTGATGGACAATATGGAGGCCAGTTGGAGTAAATCAGGAATTTCCAGTCCCACTGGAGAGCTGGCCATGTCTGTTTGGTCCATCTTAGGAAGGAAAATAGGATCAGGCCCTAAGTCAGAAACTGCTTGGTGCAGACAGGGCCACAGGGGCTGTCTAGAAGAGGTGGCGGGTTATGAGAAGAAGGCCTCTTCTGGTTTCATAAGGTCGGCCATCTGGGAAATTGAGCAAGCAGGGACCATTGAACAGGAATCTGAAAAGAGGAGAGGGGTTTGCTTTGCCTACTGCACAGTGAGGTAGAGAGAGAGCTATGGGTGGGTGATGGAGGGTAGCAGGCTGGGCTGAGGGACCTGGTCCTGGACCTGGGTGCGCACCCAGGGATTTGGGGTCCTTCTGAGGGCTGCGTCTGGGGGAGAGGGTACAGATGTCTCTCAACGTGGTTTGCAGGTACCTTGAGGTACTGGGTACTTGAGGAGCTTCCACCACAGTTGCAGGGTTGGAGGAAAGGTAGAAAGGAGTGGAGAAACTGATGGGGTGGGTGTTTCTTCCCCGGAGGGCTCTCATTGCACAGGGATGCCACCTACTGAAGCTCAGGAACCAACAGCAGGGTGAATTGTTTTCTTTTGTTTGTAATTGTTCTTGTAAAGTGATAAACACCAGAAAGAGCCTGCACATGGTGCTGAGAGGTGTGTACATTGAAAAGGAAGTCTTCTTCCTTCCCACCCTCAAGTTCCCCTTCCAGAGGCAAGCCTTCTCGTCAGGTTCTGATGTGTTCTTCTGAAGGTAGCCAGTGCACACACAAGTGTGGGTTATGTACAGTTAGACACAGGTGTGCGTGCATGCAGGTGTGTGTGTGTGTGTGCATACATGGCCTCTTTTTGGAATAGTAGTGATTGCGTACTTTATTCAGTGGTACCTCGGTTTTCAAATGTCTCCATTGACGAACATTTTGGTTGCTGAATGCCATAAACCCAGAGGTAAACGCTTCGGTTTTCGAACACGCCTCAGAAGTCGAACATGCCCTGCGGCTTCCGCTGAGGGCAAGATCCTGAGGCCTAGCTGTTGGCTGTGGATCCCTCTGGTTTCGAATGTTTCAGAACTCGAACAGCCTTCCAGAACGGATTACATTAGAAAACCGAAGTACCACTGTACTTTACTTTTTCACATAACATTGGAATTCTCTCTGTTCTTTTTCATGGTGTCAGAAATATCCTATTGATGAAGGATGATTTATTTAGCCAGCTTCCTACTGATGGTGATTTTGTTTGTATCGCATTCTTTAATACCATAAACAATCTTACAATGGGTGGTCTTAAATAGGTCTCTTATCTGCGGAAAAATTCCTAAAGTGGAGATTTGGGGTCAGATGGTTGCTGTGTAAAATTTTGATGTTTTGCCAAAGTGCCCTCCAAAGATGATAGCCATGTTGCTTTATACTCTCAAAAGCAACATATGAGGGAGGCCATGTTTGCTCAACCTCTTCTACTTTTTGATCTTTGCCAGTCTGGTAAAATGGTGTTTGACTTTTGCATTTTCTCAAAAGTGGTGAGGATGAACATACTTTCATATGTTTAAAAGGCATGTATGTTTCAAGAGGGACAGCTGTGACACTTACAGGTGGGGAAATGGGTTTGGTGGCTCCAGCCTGGGAATGGTGGGGTTGGGGAATTTGGTCCTAGGGGAAAAGCTAGTTTGTCTTGGAGAGAGCCAAGAGCCTTAGGGAAAGTTTCCTCTTTCTGGGACCCCTATCACCAGGCCACCTTTTTTTTTTTTAATCCTCACCTGAGGATATTTTTTCCATTGCTCTTTAGAGAGTAGAAGGGAGAGAAAGAGAGAGAAAAACTTGGATAAGAGAGACACATTAATTGGTTGCCTCCTGCACACGCCCTAAACAGGGCCGGGGATTGAGCCTGCAACCAAAGTACATGCTCTTTGCAGGAATCAAACCCGGGACCCTTCCTTGGGCCAGTGCTCTAGCCACCGAGCAAAACCAGCCAGGGACCAGGCCTTCTTAAATAGGTGATTTTTAAACCTGGCTTGATGCTTCTTTCATGGGTGGGGGTGGAGGGCAGGACTAAACTCTGGGTCCCCTACCCCCAAGCTTATCCTGAGTGGCTCTCTGCTTATCTGCTTGACATACTAGGCTTCTAGGTAAGGTTTCATTTGAACAAAGACTTCCAGGGCTGAACAAAGATTGAAAAGCACTGCCCTAAATCATGTACCCTCTCCTGAGGGATAGATCACTTTCTGCTCCCAGAGCCCATCAGTGTTTGGCATTCCTAACACTGCAGGGTTGGGAGGGGTGTGAGAGTCTCTCGGGAGAAGAAGTGTGGTAGCAGTGGTCATTGGGGTGCCTGAGTGGAGGGGCAGACACATGGATACAGGTCATATCCACCATGGGCACAACCTTGGGATCACCATTTGGGGGACCCCAAAAATATGGGGGCCCTGACTACTGGCTGTTTTTCCCTGTACTGTGTGCTCTCATGCCTCCATGCTGTTGTTCACACTCCTCTTTTACCTGGAATGCTTTTTGTTCTGCATGTCCATGTCCTCCTTACTCACAAAGATCAGACCCCATGCTGCCTTTCCTTGAGGTCCTCTTGAATCTCCTCTGAGCTCCTGCAGTTTTTCACTTTATTCATCTGAACCCCCCCCCCCCC